TTACATTATTCTTTTCATGTACAGTGCCCTGAGACAACGTATGTTGTGACTTGGCGCTATATAAATAAACTTGAACTTTTATGAATGAGTGATTAACGGCAGAGGAGCACAGAGACAGCATAGAGGCACTCAATGAACAGGTTAACTACAAACTCACGTCTTTTGATCTTCTCTTGTAAGATGAGCAACTTCTGCKTCAGGTAGTTGAAATTGGTTTCGCTCACCAATGATTTAAAACAAACCTTTTTCAGCAGAGCGGACTAAACCGAGACGCTAAAACAACCAGAAAGATTCAAGAACCGCGTAAAGTTTTCGACTGCGACAACAACCAATCAGATCTCTACGTACTTGAAAAGAAAGGCGGGACAAGTTGACAGGATATCCAATCAGAGTTTATCTTTTCGCTCACGCTCTGGGGCTAACTAGAGGACGCTAACGCGGCCCAGCCTTTATTAGCTTCTAAGCTAACTTTCAAGTGACTTTTTTGAATATGGACCACAAAACAGCATGTAYTTAAACAATTTAATGATTTATACTTGTTAAACATAAATTACATTATTCTATATTTATTATAAATTCATTAAAACTTAGTTTGAGGTCTGTAAAACATTTATTCTGTTTGTAGATGTTAAAACTTGTTTGCTTTACTGGTATTTGGATCATTGGGTCTAGTTAAAAAAACATCAGTTTGATCTGAATTATTGTTCAATAAAATACAGTTTATGAATTGCAAAACTTTATTTTTTTTTTATATCAAAGTTCAAAAAATGTCAATCTCAGTACTTTTTCAGCTCATCTGGTCCAGTTCACTGATCAGGTCTGATATATCTGATTTGAATTATCACACATTAAATACAAATTTGTTAAATATTTTTAAGCAGTTTGTCATATGGAAAACCGTTTGATGAAAGTAAAATAAATGCTTTTTTTGTGACATCTGGACCAGTTCAGCTTATTTTTGTTCTACACACTATTCATTTTGTGAAAAGTCAAACAATTGTGATTTAAATCCTCTTTTGTTCTTAAAATAAGGTCAAAAGTCTAAACTGAAAGCATAAACATGAGAAGTTCTGGGAAAAAAGACACGTGGACACACTTTAGGTTTGACTGGAAATTGAGATGTTTAGTAAATTTAATTGTTTTCTGATTCCTTTAATTTATTTTTAGATTGATTTTTGTTCCTGGTTATWATTTCAGCAACAATGTGATTTTAAAAACTCATTACATTCCAGGTAGATTTGACTCCAGGTGGGGAAAAAAATCCCTTTTCTCCCTCAGTTGTCATCTCTGTGTTGAGCTGCATTTTATTTTTATTTTTTACGAAAAGTCTCAAACCCTTTTTTTTAATTCAAAGCTTCTTTTAAAATAATAAACTTTTAATTATCATCCAAATGTTTTATTTTGGTCCTGAAATGGTCGCAGCAGCGCCCCCTGCTGGATGACAACCATAAAGACATGTTRTGGTTTTCATCCAGCAGGGGGCGCTGCTGGATGAAAACCATAACGTCTATATTTATGATCAAACAACCAGACTCTTCACCTGTCCACAGGTATTTTGCTGCACTCCTTGAGCAAACTKCTCCAGCTGGTTCAGGTTTGAAGGTTTCCTTCTCCAGATAACAGCAACTGTTTGGTTCTGAGTTTTTTTTTTGGTGGGGTTTAGTTTGGTTTTAGTTTAGGTTTGGGGTCATTAGGAGGACCTACCTGTGCCTTGATAGTCTTGAGGTTATACCCAGCAAAAACCAAAGACACCCTGTACCWGTCACGTGCAAACACATTTCTGGCTGGAGTTTGCGTGTTCTTTCTGTGCACATGTGGGTTGTTTTCACTCGTGTCAGTTTCCCTCTTATGGACACATCAGAAATGTGAGGATACTTCATAACAGTTTTATTAAATAAATCAAAATTAATCACTGATTTTTAGTAGTTGTTTTTTAAGTAAATGTTTTTTATTACTTCTGTTGGCTTCAAGTTATTTCAGTTTGTTTTTTTAAATGACAGTGTACAAACATCAAACATATAAAAGAAAACTGAAGGAATCAAACAACGAAAACAAAAATTCAGTTTAGATCAAAATACAATTCAGAGATGATGAATGGTGAAATTCTCTGCAGCGACACCAGTTTCTGGTCTTTAAGTTTAAACCTCATTAATTGAACATTATTTAATCAGGACAGATTCAGGAAATGAAAAAAAAAAAGACTTTTAGTAAATTAACAAATATGGACAATAAAGGTTAAATTTGTAAAAACACAAAACGCATTTGATGCAAATTTCCAATTTATTAGAAATGTGTACAAAAGTATGTAAAATTAGATCGTCCAAAATGATTTTAAGGGGGGAAAAAAGGCAAATAGAGACAAAGTTTGAGTTTCCTTCTGAAAAAAGAAAGCAGGAGTTTTGAGCTGAGCTCAGTTTGTCATTTATTTTATTTTA